GTTTGAGAGAGGCGGGGCATAGAGGACCTACAATAATGTACAGTATTTGAAAAATAATGAGTTTTTTGAACATTAAAGCATGTCAACATATTCTGTTACACCAAATACACAAAATAATGATCTTTAAAATAGCATCATATGACCCCTTTAAGGTTAAGGGATGTTTTATGTTTGAGAAATAAGAATAAAAGTCTGCCTTGCAAACACTATAAAATCCAATCTCTCAGGTAATACTTACAAACTAATAGTGATGAAAAGGAAGCTCCAGTTGGACAATCCGATATCCAGCGTTGTTGCCAGGGCTGATGGACACAGACAAACAGTTGTACACATATTACTGTATGATGAATCACTGTCTAAGCATATACTGTACATCATAAATCATTCTATGCTTAAACTTGAATAATGGGCTTGTGGACAAGATTCCAGAATATTCGAGCAGAGATCAACTAGATTCGTTATATATTCAATCAGTGTGGACTTCACCCATCCAAACTGTGTGTTGGATAGAAAAGATAACAGGTTTTATCTCCTCAGCTACCATTATGGCAAACATTCAAACACATTTTTGGTCTTTGGACTCACTGATGAATTTTTTCCCAAAACAAACAAAAAATTCTTACCTGTCGGGGCCACTTTAGAAAGGTAAACCTTCCAGGGAAGTGTCACTCGAGGCTTTCCCGTCCAGCATTGCATGGCAAAGCGTGTCAGTGTGGAGAAACTGAAAATTATTACGAGATGGACCAGCGTCATGAACAGAGGAAAGTGGAAGTCCTGAGGCAGATTAAAAAAACAGACATTATACAACACAAATGGACAAAAATAAGTGTTCTTTTCAAAACGAAGAACAGGCATGTTTTCACCCAGCTGAACTATATCTTACCCTCATGAGCCACTTGTTGTAGAATGTTATGCCAATGGAAAACACATAGTAGAAGAGCACCAGGCCCACGGTGCGCAGCGCCCTGCAGAGGAACTGCGTCGGGCACGCCATCCTCCTGGACAACCCGGATCCGACAAGGCACAGCTAAACACTATTAACAAGAGCAAGGAAGGCAATAAGAATTAACCAGAGCTAGTATGTTAACTCTGGGTAATTTGATAAGAACATGCAGGGCCAAAGTTTGATGTGCGCGAGTATTGATCAAAGAAGCACTTGTTGAGCAGTGCAACATATTGTATCAGAACAGCTGTACTTTTAAAATATCTGATGAAGTGCGAGGGGACTTTTTGTTTTGTGCGTTTTGTTTTGACAGGCGTTTAAGCAATAAACTCTAACTAAACGTTGTATCACGCACTCGCGAGCACTAAACCTAGTTACTTCAACTGATGCTGTGACAGTTTGCACACGCTGCCTGGCTGTGCCATTTAACGTTACAGCTAACCAGAACTAGCTAAGGTCAGTGACCACATTTTCTTACCTCACTGTTTACATAGTCCTCGAAAAACAAAAATCTGGTAGCATTAAACTCTATGTAACCATCATTTGGATACGCGAGTCGCCTCAGAGCACTAAGGTGACATTAATGCGAGACTCTGCCATACAATTGTGCCATTCAAATAACTGTTCTTGTTTGTGAACCTACAGACACCCCTGTGTAGTCACTTCTGCTGCTGTGACGTGGACGTTGCTCTTCTGACACATGCCCGGGAAAATTTGAATTCTACACATAATGTTTTGAAATGAAAGCTTTTTCTGAATTTTTATTAAGCACACAAGTGCCAACGCCAATGTAAATGCGCTAAATAGTAGACTGGCTGCTATTTGCTATGTTTAGCGCTGATCGGTTCGTTCTTTTGATTCGAATCGTTTTGATGAATCAATTGAACCGGTTCATGGAAACAAATTGTTCACGAATCGGACTGATGCGATCTTGAGCGGTTCTCCAGTCAAGAACTCATCGGCTGAATTCAGAATAAAGTTGTCTTGTAATAATATAATTACCACCGACATGGTCCGAGAACCGATGAGTGAGCTGATAGTTTGTGAAGTGAACATTTAACTGATGCACACACGAAATTACACGAAAACTCCCTCCCAAATAAAAGTTTATTAGTGTTTACGAAAGACAGGGAAAAATAAATATAAATACAAAATTAAACTAAATAAAAAAGACAGGAGTTTAAAGTTTTAAATGATCTTTAACATTCTAGCAAATCTGGATTTGTTTTGTTTACTTAAAAGAACCAATAAGCATAACATAAGAAATTCAATAAATACCTTAAAAACTTGGTTTAGAGTCACTACGTTTGCTGCTGTGTATGTGAAATTTGTCCAAAAAAAATTCACCATAACAAATGATCAGATATATTTTATGATTCAAAGTATACAAAGACTTGTTTTTACAAAACCTCTCCAGTTTTATTTAGAATATCTTACATACAATCTTATTGTGTCACGTGCGTAGGTAACAAGGTAAAAAGTAAATTCGATCCACAACACATAGCCTATATAAAACACATAATGTGGCTGAATTTATTGCATGTAATTTTATTTAGCAATAACAACTATTTAGAACAAATTCAAACATAAAAATACACATTTTAATCTAAAATGCTCGGCAGCATTGATGGGCGAAACAACAAATACAAATGTATAACAGAACATCAAGAAATATAACAAAGAACAAAAATAACAGCCAAAGTAAAGAAAACTCAGTTATAATCTAAATAAAGCGATACATAAAAGGATAATAAATAATCAAAGGGTTCCTGTTGACTTTACTGGAGTATGACTTTACTGGAGTGTGACGCAGAAGAATCGCTGAATTGATTCGTTCAAAAGAACCAATTCACAGAAATGATTCGAACGTTCCACCACTCCCCCTTTAATAAGGTCGTCATCCAGAACTCCAGGGGTCGCTGACGGTTTCTTCCACTGGCGCGTTATGTGGAAATGAATGAGCAGTACTTCCTGTCTTTGCATTTGCTTGTTGGGGTGTTTTATTTTTGTTCCCGTCCGGTTTTCACAAGTAAGTTATACATAAACGCTGTGTCTGTTATTCTTTTATCATATAGAACAGCGGTTCTCAATTCCAGTCCTCGCGTATCCCCGCTCTGCATGTTTTGCATGTCTCTCTTTGTTAACACACCTGATTCAGATGATCATCTCGTTAGAAGTGAGCTCCGTGCATGAACTGTGTGCCGATTGACATGGTCCCTACACAGTGTCCATTGCTCCCTACTCCCTGAGCAGGGGAAATCCGTTGAAGTTTACTTCACTTCGGAATATTCATTTACAGATTTGCGCTGCGCCGCTGCCTGCAGCGTCTTCACACACATACGAAACTTACTAGAGACGCGTGAAGGGGGACATAATATACCTCTGTAAATAAATACAATTTAAATTCACGTCTCGCACACTTAAATGCCCTCTGTATGGAACATATACGCTCCCTTCAAACTGGAATCATGGAGGCATATCCGGTAATGTCCACTTCGCAGGGCACTTACAGTTAAATATAACAAAGGTCTGAAGCAATAAGAGAAACATACGAAATGTGCAGAGCGGGGGTACGCGAGGACTGGAATTGAGAACCGCTGATATAGAACACTTGAGTCTTGTGTTTTGAATGGCTGTTTCTAACCAGCGCGCTGCATTTCGTTTAAAGAATGGCTGAAGAAGAGGATGATCCTGGTTTTGATGAGGATTTAGACGACGGAGGTAACGGGGTAGACTCGGGTCAAGGTAAAAGAAAGCGGCTTTTTTCCAAGGAGCTTCGCTGCATGATGTATGGGTTTGGAGACGACCAAAATCCCTACACCGAATCAGTGGATATACTGGAGGATCTGGTGATCGAGTTCATCACGGAGATGACACACAAGGCGATGTCCATAGGGCGCCAGGGTCGCGTGCAGGTGGAGGACATTGTCTTTCTAATCCGCAAGGACCCTAGAAAGTTTGCGAGAGTGAAGGACCTGCTCACTATGAACGAGGAGCTGAAGAAGGCTCGCAAGGCCTTTGACGAGGCAAATTATGGGTCTTGAAATAGGCCTGCGGTTGCTATGTTGTTCATGAAAAGGGTCATTTTATTTTCGCCTATAATGGAATTTTACCTGTTGTGAACCCTAGTCCACTTTTCTTACAGCCTTGTTTATTCAGTTGCTGGACAGTTCACACTTCATGAGTGTTCATTGTGTGTGTGTTTAAGATTTTGTACAATAAAGAAAGATACATTTGTTAAACGTTTAATGCAAGTTTTCTTATTATTTTGAAAAGCATTTATGTGCACCTTAAAAATCAGAAGAAACATGGCTGTTTCTTAGAAAACATGTACAACAACCCTAGTAATATCCTTAATGAAAGTTTAGAATATAAACTATATAACCATTATATTTTTATCCTTTAAATGGATAGTTCAACCATCATATACTCACTCTCAAGTTGTTCCAAACCTGTATGACATCATTTTCAGTTTTTTTTCGACTATCCCTTTAATTGTTGTTGTTGTTTTTTTAATCCAGAGAGATACTTTTAAAATGGACCATGTATCTTTTAAATTGTATTATTTTTTTTATTAATATTCATATATTTTGATGATAAAAAATATTACATTTTGTTGCAAATTGAAGGGTTAATGCAAGTATAAAATTAATTGCTTTGCTAAATTGTGCCCGATATAGCTGGGGGTGGGGGTCATTTAAAATAGCTGACATTTATATCTTGTCAATAATGTAAATATAACTAATGCATAGAATTTGAGGACATCTTGAGGTTTTTGCTTTCAAATATATTTATGTATGTATGCGTTTAAACTATTTAATTTTCAGTGACATTAGGCATTCTGTTTATAGCTTAGACATGCAAATCACATTAAGACATGTTAATAATAAGCCAGATTATTATTATAATACTCATTCAGTATTCTTTTAACATTTGGTGTTTTCCCCCCAGTGTATGTCATTCTCACAAAAAGGAGGAATATGTAATTTACTTTGTCATCAGTTATATTTGCATTATTAGTGTGCAACCCTTTACATTGCAAATAATACTCATCAGCCATTGACCAGATAAACAAGACACAATTTACTGATTTACACACTTGCAGCACACAAAGAATGTCATGTTAAAAATCTAAATGTGCAATAGAGAAGAAGAGCTATTCCTACGGCATGTCTAATAAAACTGAATGCCATATTGGCATTAGTGAAATATCACTGTGATATTTGTAAGAGTTTGTGGTTTGGGTTTTGCTGCTACATAAACAGTACTAATTATAGTTTTTAGTATATACAGAAATTGTCAACTAATTGGGGTCAGAGACTCGGGAGAAAAAAAAGTTTAATTGATAAACTCCTAAGAAATAAAACCATACAAATCAAAATGTCAGACCAACTAAACAATGTGTGTTTTATTTTTTATTCTGTTTTCAAGCGTTCGTTCTTAAATACAGTGAAGTGGTTTGGCTTTGGCATTGGTCTATGCAGCGGTAACAAGCTGCTGATCTAGACTAAATCTAGACTTTAGCACCCACAAACGTGGGGTCTACCATGGCATGTGCTTCTAGCGAACTTGAGCGCCATCATAACATGATGAGCCTGTGAACCACACCACAGCTTGGCTCCTTGGATCTGGCATGAGGGTTCAGTGGGAGCCCAACTTTGGCAAACCCCACAGAGGTGTTTATCTGTCTGTCTGCTGAAGAGGTGAGATGGAGGCAGAAAGAGGACAAAAGGGGGAAGTGAATTTGAGTGGCACTGAGAGGTAAAGGTTCCTGTTGGCAGGGGTGAGAGGGGAGAGGAATGTCCTTGAGCCTCTGTTTTACTGCACGTTCTCCATCATCTTGAGGAATTCTGGGGGAAAATGGACACAGGTGTTGCTTCAGTACCTGGTCTGAATTCACGCATACTCATACATAAAAGGAAATGTAATTTATAAACCATCATACCATCAAAGTCCAGCATGCCATCGTTGTTTTTGTCTCCATCTTTAAGCAGCTCATCAATCTCTTCCTCTGATATGGGTTCGCCAGTGCTGCGGATGATCTCAGCAAACTCATCTCTGTCGATGTAGCCATCACCGTTCCTGCAGATTCATAGTGTTGCATATGCTAAAGTGAGTCTGGGTCACATTCAAAAACAGGTGCACACAAGAAGATATCAGATGACATACTTGTCCAGCACACGGAAGCATTCGGCCAACTCTTCCTCACTCTTGCCAGCCTGGTCCTCCTTTAGGAGTCTCACCATCATGACCAAGAACTCCTCAAAGTCAATGGATCCGCTGCCTACAGTTTCCGGTATGAAGTAGCTACATTAGCTATTACAATCTACATTTTTGTATTTTATGCATAAAGTTGAACAGATATTATCATTCATATGAATAATAAAAATATACAGACATCATCATGTAGGCCAGAAACATACTTCACGCAAGTGTGAAAACACAGACGTACATATTTGACATGTACTCTTCCATAGGCCTGAAAGGGCGATACAGTTATTCATTCATATGCTTTTGACTTTAAAATGGGGTGTTTTAATATTCAGGTAAGTTGCTCTTTAATTTTTTTGTCTTAGCAAGACCTTTTTAAACTCTTGCTCCGCAATGGCAGTATTTGTCCCGAAGGAAATAACTGATATTTTCCTCTGTAGCGCCCCTTGCGGCAGCGCTGAAAATGCAGCGCGTACTTCTGCGTACAAAACGCAAGAACGCAGGATATGAGATTGCGTGGAGTATTTTCTCGGTCTACAGCGTTATATAGTTCTATGTATCCACTTTTTTCCAGCTGTAGCATTTTGCTTACCGTCTTCATCGACCTCCTCGATGATTTCTTCCAACTCCTCTCTGGATGGATTCTGACCCAGCATCCTCATGACGGTACCCAACTCCTTGGTGCTGATATCACCGCCACCGTCGGTGTCGAACATGTCGAAGGCAGCCTTGAACTCTTTGAAATAGACGCATAATGTTTAATGTAACAGAACGACGTGGATATCGGTGATAAGCCTATATCCGTTTATCAGTTACACAGTAGGCTACACTCACCGGCAAGCATCTCCTCGCTCAGGTATGAGCGGGCCTCCTGTTGCGCGTCAGTCTGTGAAACGGTTGCATTATGAACGGTTAATTTCAGATATAAACAGTGCAATGCTTTAATTTGATAAACGGAAAACACTGGTTCTTCTGGAGAGTCACTTGCTTTTGTTTTCCTAATAATCTGTTTCCATTAAGACAGGGTTGTGGGCCTGGCAAACAACAGATGGTACCCAGAACACTCCTCCAAGACAATTTGCGACTATTTTAAGGCTCAACACGTTATCCTCGCAGTCAGTGTGACTGTACATGGTAATTCCGAAACAGGATCCTTGGAATGTGTCTCCTCAGCTTTTAGTTAACCTACTTAACCTAACCTGCTGACCAGATTCATATCATATAGCAGGATGTCCATCTTACCATCAACAGATATATGGATGATATTTCAGGGTGATCTTTGACTATTTGATCTTGGAATAATTTAACTCCTTCAAGCTATTTTTGTATCCATGTTAAAACATTATTACATCAGAAAAATGGCAATGATCAACTTTACAGTGGATTTTGTTGCAATGTGATGAATTTATCATATTGAGTGTAATGGTATTTTTTTTGTCAGAGAGAAATCTTGGTCTTGTATCACAGATTAATTATCAGTCAGTTTGAATCTATAATGAAGTTACCTTAAAAAAACACCTAATAAAGTTACTCTAATCAGATTATATCAGACATTATTGCCCAGAGAAAAATGAGTCCAAAATAGAGCAATTGTCTGATAAAAAAAAATAAGTAAAAGAGACACAATAAACAGATTTAAATATACTTTAATCTATTTTTTTAAAACTAGAAGGATTTTTTTAGTCATCCTAAGGTTGAATTTTATTTATTATTTTTATTATAAAGCTTTATTAAATGCATGCAGAACTACAAGGGAACTATTAACAATACTTTAACCTTATGTAATCTGTTATTAATAATGACAGAAATGTAATTCTGACTTTTTGACTAGGCCATTTGCACATTTTATGTTTTCATGCATTCATTAGCAAAACTGACTGCTTAGATTATTTAAACTCTTACCATGGTTGTGGATTAGCCTCCTCACTTATATCCACGAAACAAGCAGTGGTCAACGCACTCGGACTCCAACAGAAAGACTAGACATCAAGTGACAGTTCTGACACACTTTAAACAGGCCACCCAAGACCCGCCCACAGGCCTCCAGATTTAGAATCCTGAACTTTTAGGGTTCGACGGCTCCCATAAGCCAATAGAAATGTGAAATGAGTACACTTTAAGAACAGTCTGCGAGAATACAGGAAAATGGTAATTGCCTTATTCTGGTGTGTTTATTGTCAAAAAGCCTGTATTTATTAGAAAACCTGTTCAAAGACACAATAAAATAATTATTTAGCGTGTCTGGTAAAACTTAATTGTGGAAATTGCATGTTAATGTTGACCACACTAATGTTTAGGCATGAAATCCTGGCAGACTTTCATCCTGAGACTTTGCTTTTCACTAACTCCCCTTAAAAATTTCTACTAAATTTGAGAAGTACTAAAATGGCTTATAATGATTTAAAATAAGTAGAGT